AAAAAAAAAAAAAAAAAAAAAAAAAAAAAAAAAAAAAATGAGACAGTTTAGAGAGAGAAAAGGAGACAAATTTTTATTAGGGAAGGAGACAAAGAAAGGTATTTTATAATAAAAAAATAAAATAAAATAAAATAAATAAATAAATAAACAAATAAAGGAGACAGAGAAAGAAAGAAAGAAAGAAAGGAGACAGAGAAAGAAAGAAAAAAAACAAAAAAAGAGAAAGGAGACAAAAGAGAGACAAAAACATAAGTACGAGTACTATTGCTGCTGCTGCTGCTCCTCTTGGTGTCGCTGCTGCTGCTGCTGCTGCTGCTGCCACTCCTCCTACTACTACTAATACTGCTGCTGCTGCTGCTGCTGCTGCTGCTACTGCTGCTGCTGCTGCTGCTACTCCTCCTCCTCCTCCTCCTCCTCCTCCTACTACTACTACTACTACTACTACAACTGCTGCTGCTGCTGCTGCTGCTGCTGGAGCTGCTGCTACTACTACTACTACTACTGCTGCTGCTGCTGCTGCTACTACTACTACTACTACTGCTGCTGCTGCTGCTGCTGCTGCAGCAGCAGCTGCTGCTGCAGCAGCAGCTTACCAGCAACAATTTTATGGATGGAGATATAGGGAGAGTGAAGAACAACCCCACCCACATAAACACCCTCCTCATACAGAGAAGCTGCTAGCTCTGCTGCGGGGCCTATACACACACAAATATTTTAATATATAAATATAAATTTTTATTTGTTTGTTTGTTTGTTTATTTGTTTGTTTGTTTGTTTATTTATTTTTATTTGTATTTATATATATATATATATATATATATATATATATATACAAGAAAAAAACAACAAAAAAACAAACAAAAAAACAAAAATACAAATAAACAAACAAACAAATAAATAAAATAAATAAATAAATAAAAATAAAATAAATAAAAAAAAACAAAAAAACAAACAAATAAATAAAACAAACAAACAAACAAATAAATAAAATAAATAAATAAATAAAAATAAAATAA